AAAAATACGTATTTCCTATTTTTGAAAGAGCTATCGAATGATACCAAAATTGACCCCCCACCCCCACCCCTGTGGGTGGGGCGGGGGACAACTTTAAAATCTAAAATGGGAACCCCCACTTTTTATAACAGATTCGCATTCCACGTTAAAAAGTACGTAAGTTTTGTCTGAAACATTTTTTTATTTGTCTAATACTTTTTGAGATGTTCAAGAGAAAATTTATAACTTTTTCAATGTTTAGTTTATGATATTTCAATAACTGTTTGTCAGAGGGAAAAGTAGTACAGGACTTTTTTACTTGATTTGGTCTCAGGAATATGCTGTCGCAATAGTGCTCTAATTATTGAAAATTTTTATGTATGTAAATTTGGTAGATGGTACAATACACAAAAATTTTTCATAATTGGAGCACTATTGCAACAGCATATTCCTGAGATCAATTCAGGTAAAAAAGTCCCGTACTACTTTTCCCTCTGACAAATAGTTAACGAGATATCATAAGCTAAACATTGAAGAAGTTATAAATTTTCTCTTGAATATCTCAAAAAGTATTAGGCAAATAAAAAAATGTTTCAGACAAAACTTACGTACTTTTTAACGTGGAATGCGAATCTGTTATAAAAAGTGGGGGTTCCCATTTTAGATTTTAAAGTTGTCCCCCGCTCCACCCACAGGGGTGGAGGTGGGGGGGGGGGTCAATTTTGGTATCATACGATAGCTCTTTCAAAAATAGGAAATACGTATTTTTCCGTTTTCCGATCCACCCACAATTTCTCGGGATATTCAACCGTTCCGGGACTTTTAGACCACCCTGTATATAACAGAGTATTACATAAATTTAAATTATCTTGTAGTATTGATTTCATTATCTGTACCATACGACAACAAAATGCCATATTAAACTATTTTATATAAATTAGGTAATATTGTTTGGGACTTCCGTTTCCGGCAGCGAGTGTGAGAGGTGTGTGTACCTGTGAGCGAGAGAGTGAAAATGAGAATAAGGAGGGAAAGAGAGTGGAGGAAGAAGAGCGAGGTACGGGGGGACGTGAAGGAGGGTGGAGTGAAGGTGGGAGAGTGAAGGGGAGGAACGAGAGTGAGAAGGAAAGCAATAGAGGTGAGAAAAGCGGGGCGGAGAAGGTAGAACCGGCGAGTGGTGGCAGGCATAGAGTAGCAAGAGTGGTAGAGAGGGAAGTCTAAGGCCGGTATTCATAGTCGATTCTCATTTCAAAATCATCTTAAGTATCGTCTTAAGACGCTAATACGGCTCTGTGATTGGTTGAAAACACATTAAGATCATACTTAAGGGGGGAGGGTCAAGTAAACGGTAATTTTTTTCACATTTTTTTTATTGCTTAGAAAATTCATTTAACATCTGGAGAATATGTTCCCAAAGCCGTGAGTTGAAATTCGAAGTCTAAATGTCCCTACGGAGTCATTAAAGTGACGCGCTCCAAACGACGCCGGCGCAGGTATACGACCGCGCACGTGAACGATTTACCTTTCGGTCCCTTGGCCAAATAGACTTGCTATTTTGACACTAGAAGGTACTACTGACGAGAGAAACCAATTTGTGCTTGTGCAACGGCTGTTTTTAAAAAAGTAACGTCCCCAAGCCAACCGTATGGCGCTTGACCCCCAAGCATCTAAACTGCGGCTCGAAAATTATACAAATTGCCGCTTATTTGGCCGGAGGCATGTTCAACGATGGCTATACATTCACGTTAGAAGTTATGAATGATATGTAACTGCAAATCGCTGACGAATGCGACAAACACCGCGTGGACAGGCAGAACCGCCGCACCCAAAGCACATCAAAAAAGGCCAGGACAGCTAAAACACAGGAACTAGCGGCTAAAATGGATGAGTTTGCAGAGGAGGAAGGCTTATTATACGGCCCTGGCATCGCAGACTAAGCTTACATTAGCCGTAAATCCCCTACACTACTTTTCTTTACCGAAAACTTTAAACGCGTTTTTCTCAAAACGCAAAATATTGAGCGCCGGGGAATGTAGCTCAGTGAATTTTCAACCAATCGATATGTAATTGTAGATACATATACTTTAACATCTTCTCCTCAGCATGAACCTAACGGTTTGTGAAAATTTTTGCAATATAAACAATAGTTTTTGCAATTAATTATAAGAAAACCAACTCGGTTTTTAAAATTGTTATTAGTTTTTCATTTTTTGAATTTTTGGTTTTCTTAATAGGTTCATGCTGAGCGTTTTTTCATAAATTTGTGAAATTTTCACCGAATTTTGATTTCAGATGATTAGAACGGTCTCTGCGATCCCCGGCGCGTTCGTGAAGAGGCAACTTCAACCAGCTACTGCTCAACGAATTTTCATTATTTTTACATAAAAAATTCCTGTGTGTAGTTTAAATACTATATAAAAACATGCACTAATTTTCAAAACAATCGATTTATTATTCTCTTTAAAAAAAATCGCAAAATTTAGGTCCTTTACTTGACCCTCCCCCCTTAAGATGATCTTAAATATAAGAACGGACTATGAATACCGGTTTTAGAGATACGAGGGCCGGGTCGCGGAGCATAGAATAGAGCCGATAGGTGGAAGGAAGAGTATATAAAGGAATTAAGAGAAGAAAACAGAAAGAGGAGGTGTAGAGAAAGGAAGATGGAGAAGATGGAGGATGATAAGAAGGTGGAGGAGGGGGTGAAGAGGACAGAGAAGGGAGAGGTAGGAAGACCGAAGTACGGGGAAATATTAAAAAGAGAGAGAGAGCAAACAGTCTACCGATAGCGGACATGTTCAGGAGAGGGGAAAAAAGAAAGGAGAGGCAGGGGGAGGGAAAGGTGGAGGAGGAGAACATATCTGGAAGGAGTACAAAAATGGGAAGATCTCCGACAAGAAAGGAGACAGAGGGAGATAATAAGATAGTAGGGGAGATAAGAGAGGGATGGGAAGAGATGAGAGAGGAGATTAGAAAATGGAGAAAGGAAAAGGAGATGAAAAAATGAATGGAGGAGAGGTTGAATGGGTGGAAGAAGGAGAAGGAAGGACTAGAAAACAAGATTAAGAAAATGGAGGAGGAATTGAAAGGGTATAGGAAGAAGAAGGAGGAGATGAAGGAAGAGAAAGGGGAAGGGGAGAAGAGAGAGGAGGTAGGAGGCGAGAAGAAGGGGTGAAGACAAAGAAGGAGGGGTGAGAGGATTGAGAGAGGAAGTAGAGGAGATAGTAAAGGAAACAGGAGCAAACGCAAGGATAGAGGAGATAAAGAGGGTCGGGAGGAGGAATGAGGAAGAAAAAGAAATAGTAATGGTCATGTTTGCAAGCGTAGGAGAGAAAATAGAGGTGATGAAGGGGAAGGGGAACTTGAGTGAGAAAAAAGAATGGATTAAAGATGATCTGACGGAAAAGGAAAGGAGACTGGAATGGCTGATAAGGAGGGAAGCGGAGGAGAGAAGGAGGGAGGGCGCGAAAGTTAGAGTAGGATACATGAAGTTATGGGTGGAGGATAAGTTGTGGAGATAGGATGAAATAAAGGACGAGCTGAAAATAATGCAGGGAATAGAAAAGGGAGGAGAGAGGAGGGAGAAGGGGTTTTAGAAAGAGATGGGTGGGGAGAGAAGGAAGAGAGAAAAAAGAGGAAGAAGAGGTCTCAAAAAGGGAAAGATGGAGGAGGAAGAAGGAGGGAAGAATATAAGGTGGGCTTTTGGAACGTGGCTGGATTGGAGAATAAGGATAAGAAGTTTTGAGAGGGCTGGGAGAATAGGACGCAATTTTTATGAGCGAAACGTGGGTGAAGAAGAAGGGATGGGAAAGGATAAGAAGGAAACTGCTAAAAGGCTACAGCTGGGAAATACAGGAAGCAGAAAAGAGGAGTAAAAAAGGAAGAGCGATGGGAGGACTAGTAATGGGGAGAAGGGAAGAAATAAAAATAGAGGGGGAGATAGAGGAGGGAGATGAGGAAGGAATAATGAGTATGAAGGCGAAGTTAGG